TGAGTTATTGAACCCGTCCGCAAGCTTCTCAATAAAGCCTGCTTCTAAAACTTTACCAATTGGATCTTTAATTCCGCTTCGCGCCCCAAAAACCCTTACAAAGACGACCACCCAAACAGGGAAACCAGCAGATCCTGGGGAGAGTCCCTCAAACTCGAACCTTCCTTTGCTTTCTACACCGCTGGACAGGCTGGCATCTGGGGGAGAGAGGGGTCAGACTACAGCCCAGTACGCTCAGCTTCCAAAGCGAGCAGACCTCGGGTGCATTTTCCGTCTTCTCGAACGACTTTCACTCCCCTCCCTCAACAACAGAGTCCTCAGGGCCTACTGACGCGGCCCCAGCAAAGGAGCGGCCACCCACCTGTCGGGGAGAGCCGAGGGAAAGCCACCTTCCGCGCCAGGAGGAGCCCGCGCCGCACCATGGGGGCCGCCATCTTCGAGCGTACCAAGGGGAAGGGCTGCGGGGCGGTTGGGGGCGGGGCGGGCAGAGGAAGGGGCGGGGTTACGAGCTGACCTCTCCGGGGTTGGACCAATCCAGTCCTCGCGCTCTGACGTAACGCCGACGCTCGGTTTTCCTCCCCCTCCCCCGCCTTCGGGAGTTGGTGCCGCTCAGGACAGCATGGCCGCGGCTTCTCATCCTCCGGAGCGAATGCTGCTGCCCGCACTTCGAGGTTGGGTGCATCCCCGGGGGAGCGGCGTTGGCTTCGGCCGCCGCCAGTGCCCTCTCGGAGGTACCGCCGCCCCGGGCTTGGTGGGCATTCGTGGCAGGAAGGGAGGGATGGGAGGGAAGGAAGCGGCCTGGACTTTGGAGGAGTCGCTCACGGCCCGGAGTTGACGGGCACGTCTTTGCTGTGTGGTTGCACCTGGGCGTCCTGGACGCCCGCGTGTTCAAGACCCAAAGACCACTGCCCGTCTTTTTGACCTTGGGACTGTAGTATGTATTCCTTCGGATGAGACGACGTCACTGTGAGATCCCTTGACCCACAGGCTTGGGAGGGAGGTCCTAAGTCAGGAAATGGGAGGCCGAGCTTACCAGCTAACATTCTGAACGTGTTTTCTCTGTTATGTGTAGCCGTAAAAAGCTCCGAGTACTGTGTTTTTTACAATGCGCTTTTATTTGTTTTGTTTTTACTGTGACTTAGGCTTTTAAAAAATATATGTGTATATACAAACACGTATACACAAGGCAGTAAGTCAAAAAATGTTGCTAAGAAATCATAGACACCTACCTGTCTTAAAAATACCAAAGTTGAAGTTATTACTGATCAACAAACTTCAGCTAGGTTTGTACAAAGAGGCTTCACAAAGTTCGCAGAAAAATGCCATTATCTTTGAGTTTCATTTTTTTCATGAACCTGTTGAAGGGCCCTCCTAATAGCTCCCTCTCACAGACCCAAACTTGCCTGGCTGAGGATTCGAATGATCTGGTGATGTAGAAAGATTTCCTCCCATCAGAGTTGCTGTGTGAATAGTTGTTTTAAACCTGGCTACATGGTTTACAATAGATGGGGAGAAGATAGATCATTTCAAAGTTCCTATTAAACCCCACTCATGTTATTTGTAAGCATAATGCAATCAGAGTTATTTTACTTTTCTTCCTTTTCCAGCTAAAAGGTATCTCCTCACAGAAAATATTGTGAAATTAAAAGAATTCCAGCATAAGAAGGTGACTCTTGCCAACAACCTCCCTGGCACCAAAGGTACTAGAGTCTATTTTGTTCATTCATTCATTAATCTATCATTCAAGTTTCCTTGTTTGTTTCCTTATTCAGGAGCCCTGTTGGCGTGCACAGTAGTTCCGTGTTGGGCTTCTAACTGCAAGGTCAGCAGTTCGAAGCCACCAGCTGCTCCAAGGAACAAAGACAGGGCTTTCTGCCTCTGTAAAGAGTTACAGTCTCGGAAACGCCCAAGGGTGGTTCTGTCCAGTCCTAAAGGGTGACTATGAGTTGCCATCAACTTGATTGCAGTTAGAGGGTGCTGAATTTATTCACTCTCTTCCTGGATGAATTTAAGTCCCATAGAAGAAAATTGAGACCATCTATCCTGCATTTCCTAAGCAAACCTTATCTTCACTTTGCAGCTCATTCTCTTCCATTACAGTTTTCAGCTCTCCTCTTTTTCCTTCTCCCAAGATCTCAGAGGAATAACACCAAGAAACTAAAATTCATGCAGCAGTTCAAACACCAGACCAGACTCGGTGCCGTCAAGTTGACTGACTCAGTTACCCGAGAGGAGAGCGTAGAGCTGCCCGTTTGGGCTTCCAAGGCTCTCCGTCTTTGTGCGAGCAGAAAGCCTCATGAGAGGAGCTCCTGGGAGGGTCTAACTTTCGGCTTGTAGTTAGCAGCCCAACACAAAACTGTGTCACTCAGAAGTATGAGGACGGGCAGCACAGGCATCACCCGGGTGGATAGAAAAGTAAAACCTCAAGCCCCAGACAAAACCTTTCCACAGTAAAGCTTGAGAAGAACTGCCCCAGATGACTGGCTTTCAAATTCCTTTGATGCAATGCTCAGTTAGTATATATGTATGTTTATATATATAATGTATATACACACACACATACGAGGGGGTCCCCCCAAAAAGAAACAAAAACCAGAATTGCACTGGGCATAGTGGAGCTTTCATAGTAGTATGGATTTTTCACTCTAGGCGAGCATCCAGCAACTTGCTTTGAGTCAGTGCCCCAGTGGCATCACCTGGGAAGGTGCTCTCTGGTCACAGTGAATCTTTTCGTAAAAGCAGTTTCACTTGAACCTCGTTTTTTGTGATGGCTGATTGAAGAGAACAGCATGGAGCTGTGAAGTTTTGTTTCCTGCTCGGGGAAAAATGCCAGAGAAACTGATGTGATGTTGAACACAGCTTACAAGGAGAGTTCTCTGGGAGAAACTCAAGTGTACAGTGGTTTTCTCGTTTCAAAAAAAGGTGAAATGTCGATTGATGACAACCCTTGTTCTGGACGTCCACCAGTAACTTCTCGAACAGAGGAAAACGTCGACTTGTAGTGCATTTAGAGTTTGTTCTACCAGGTCAGACTGTTAATCAAGCATTCTATTTAGAGGCTCTGAAAAAAATGGGTAACATTGTGTGACAAAAGCCTGATTTGTCGCAGATGGGGAACTGGTTTTGCCCCCATGACAAATGCACCTACTCAGGCAGCCATCTCAGTTTTGGGCAAAAAAACCAGCATGCCTCTGTTGACCCATGCACCTGACTCACCTGACCTCAGTCTATTCCATCTTGTGACTTCTTTCTGTTTCTGCAAATAAAGAGGGACATGAAAGGACAGTGATTTGCGGACATAGAAGAGGTGAAGGAAAAAACGGAGGTGTTGCCAGCCATCCAAACAGATGACTTGGAAAAATGTTTCCAAGGAATTGCAGATTTGACAAATGGATTAAATGTAATGGAGAGTACTTTGAAGGTGATAAGGTTGTTTTGTAAAAATAAAATTAAATACATAGCTTCATCCTTTCTGGGGTCCATAGGATTTCATGTTAATCTAGTCATAGTTCTTAAGCGTTTGCCCTTGTCAAGGTCACGGATGTCTGCGATGGTTACCAGCCCTGCCCAGCTTCCTGGCTTCCTCACTGCCCTTCTGCTGCTTCCACCAAACTTGTTCTGTTGCTGCTCGTCAGCTTTCTGGTCTCCTATTTTGCTTACAATCAGTTG